GAAAGCTGGTTGCCGGCGTTTGGGGGGCCCAGATTGAATGAGGTGACACTTTCGGGCGTGGATGCCTGCCGCATCAAGCCGTTGAGCAACGGAAGAGTAGAGGTCCAGGCTCGGAGGGTGACAGGAAAGTGTGATGGGGACATGTTCAGCACCACAAGCCATGAGACTTGGCGAAAGTGCCGTATTCACCCGCGTATGCAGGACGATGGCGTCACGGAAAAGGACACTCTACTCATCATCAAAGAAAGTGAAGAAAATGGCGAAGGACTGTTAGTCGCCGGCACGGCATCTGGTTGAGTCCTGCGTCGAAAATGGGGTAAAGTCATTAACCTGAAAGGATGGCAACTAGTGGAGCCGGTGGAAGCATGGGAAATCGGATGAATGATGGGTAACAGTGAACTAGCCGTTGTCAAAGACTCAAAAGGACTTGGTATCCAAGCACAATAGTTACCCAGGTCTCTCTGGTTACCTAGCGTTTATGCCAGGAGTTCAAGGGTCAATTGTACAAGACTAGGCTCCGTAGTTCTAATACATAGTCTCATGCTCAATCTCAGACTCCCTTATTTTCGACTCCTCATATTCTCATAGTGATGTCTCTTTGTGTGACCTTGTGGAACGAGGCCGAGCCTTCAACGGAAGACGGTGACGTCGGCTAGACATTGGTGTTGATCTGGAAAACACGGGTATACTCTTGTTGGAAATAAACCCCGTCGTTCGGATCATATAGAACACCAAACCGGTATACATAATCTAGGGTCTGGCGGTCTGCCTGTGCCTTCACCGTCCAGTTGTAAGCCAGGGCCTGGAATGGTTGCGCAGCTATTCGTATCGTTGTGACTAGTATCGCTTTGGCTCTGAGAAGATAGAGCGAGAGAGAGAGAAAACCAATGCCTACCTTCAATTATGGTCGTCTCAATCGGAACCGAGTCGTTTCCAATGATGAAAGAAAACACCTCTAGCACAAATGTGTCCGTTCTCGAGTTCTTCTCCCACTACAGCAAGCTCCAAGTCAGTCTTTATATATGACTAAAAAGCAACACAACGTCTCAAGCAACTTCTGTCCAATTCCAAGGGAATATAGGGGAGTGTTTACCGTTAGCGTGTAAACGCTACCTTCGTCCATCACATCATTAAGAGGTATGGTGCTTGTGAGGTATACAGTTTCGCCAACTGTAGACTCGGGATCCACCGCTTCAACTCGGGTAGGACCAGACTCCCGTCGGGTAGGGGTGGAAGCATCTACCGCGCGGAGAGCAACGGCGCTATTCTGGGGGATCGTGGCGGACTGTACAGCTGCGACGCCTAGGGCTAGGGCTGACAATAGCTTCAGCAGAAATTTAGCCATTGTCGTTTGTGGATGAGAAACAAAGGACTTGAACTGGCCGATAATAGAAATGGGGTGCGGGGAACATATCGTCCCAGTGAGTAGAGAGGTTTTACGTCTTTTATACTGGCCTTAGGAACATCATTGGACGTGTGTAGGACCTCGTATTGTTCATCACTAGCAGGTGCATTTCAGTGCGGTAGACTCCCACTCCTACATGAAGAATTTCCGCGTTACGGTTGTTGCAGTCTTGCCTTTTCAAAATTGGAAGGTTTAAAATGGATCGACTAAAGAGCCTCTTTCCCAGATGGGCAGCTTCAAAGACAATTGTACAGTAATCATCTGACATGATGTTTGCATGGCTCTATACCTATACCAGAATCCTATATTTATGTCCCGTATAGACGGGGCGCAATGCAATCCTAAGCAGATCCAAACTTGAGCAGATCCGATATTTCGCCGATATATGGTGTGCTTGAACAAGGCAGCAGAAGAATATGTGATCTCGAAGACCTATAATATTTCAGTTAATACTGGACTATACCATGAAGCCACTTATATGTGTCCGTGTCGTTGAAATAGAAAGACGCATTACGTTATATGCATCCCGCCGTCTGCTATGTAAGGTATCATAGCGCTGGGATCAAGCTGCTAGCTCAGCCTACTGCAAAGTCAATATGGAAATTATTCCTGCTAGCAGCTGTGGCGTTCCGACCTTGCCTCTCTGTGTGTAGATAGGATCGGAAAAGGGGATGAACCGTAAAGTTGATCAATTGGCATGAATAATATGTCGGCCGCTTTCGGCATTACCATATAAAGCTGCTCACCGGTTCATATTATTGTAACGTTATAGATTAAATGCTAGATAGCTGGGTGGTCATCGAGACTGGTGACGGGATCTACTCCGCATCTCCCTAGTTGGCATCTAATGCTCCTAGACTTGGCCCCCAACTGCTCACCATACATCCAAAACTCCCTCGCTAGTCTTTATCATAAAGAACAGTATTCACACTAGTCGATCTGATAGCGAGTAGTACGGTCATAGAGTGTAATATACGCCATATACCAAGGCGGATATTGTTCGGCCGCCGACCGGTCACGACCCGTCGAATTTTGAACCCGTAAATCCGAGGCGGCCGCAAATGCAGATAGCAACATACGTAGCATTATGACCTTAGATCTTCGTAAACGAAGTATGCATATAATAATTTGCTTGATATCTATCTAGGCAGCTAAGAGTGCAGCTAAGAGTGCCCACCCCATCACCTCTATCATGTAATGCCTCCTGCTACCTAATAGATATTGTAAGGCATGCAGGTGCTCCGCGTTATGAAAAAAAGGGGGCTTGCCAATTTTAAGTAGTACGGGTGGTGACTATAATTCGCACAGCGGCGCCGAGAGTCCGACTGCTGCATCCACAGTGACCATCGCCAAGGACGGGTTTCCGGCTCAGATACAACCCCGCTCGGCTCCCCCTTTATCAGTGGTAGCACCATACTCCCCTTTCAGCAAATAGACTCGGAAATAAGTAGTCACTCCAGAATATGCTACTTGAAGGAGTTCTCGTCGTCACCAACTTACCAATATTGATCACAAATACGGTGACTCGTTAGTATGAGTGCTCATCCTACCGACTATTTGACGGAGGAAAGAATATCACTAATCCTCGACGACTCATATGTAGAGTTAAGCACTACCGGAATCGTAACTATATTCAAGTTCTTTCGACGCGATACCCCATTTTATCAGTCTACCATATATGCAAGCAATGGATGCGCTTGGGATTGCTGTACTATAAGTAACGCCGTAGGCAAGCCTATAAAGCAATCCTAGGGATTACCTTTACATTTAAAAATTCTGGCTTTTACAGAATTTTATTTGGGATATATTCCTGTAAGTTTTGCATACTGGGGACGCGAGGTTGCTCCCTCGTGGTGCCAAGGGCGTTGATCATAGATTCAGGTTCCGAACTGGAATTAGGTATCCAACTTTAAGAACCATCCTTAGGGTTTCAGTCTAATATATCCTGTGGCGTACTCCAGTTTAGGAGCTATGGGCGAAAACTTTTTGAAGCAGAGCTAATATTACTGTTCCTGACAAGTGTATGCGGGGGACTACATTACATCGTGAACTACTATGTAAATATAACAGCAATATGAAAATGCTCCTCCAAGTAGATGCTAGTATTTCCTAGGCAGGCTTTAATCTCGCTGCTCAACTACCCGCTTCAACCAGGTTTAATAACCTTCAAGTAATAAAGTTGTATTTGAAATACGGGGTTTTTAAACAAGGGGCGGCTAGGCTTAGCGAGACGCCTTATGGCTGAGCTGTGAAGGCGGGTCAAATAAGGTCTCAGGAGTCACTCAGGGGGAAGCATACGAACTAGTTTATAATACATTGATAGTGGAGAGGCACACTGTTTGCGAACAAGCTATTTCCTACTTCTTATCACTTATGATCGCACCGGGTCTACGTCTCTGGACTTAGAAGATAGTGTAACATGTTGGCCACAATGATAATTCCATGTCATTCTAGATTGTAACCCACCTTAAGGTATTAGACATTAGACGGTATAAGATAGAAAAATAAGGCATCAAGCCATGAAATAAGAGGTGTATGAACATATAAGTCATGTCACTGTCCGAAGTAGTACGTTCAGATAGGGGGATGGACGAGCCAAGCGGAATTTGCAAAAGGATTTTGTCTGATGAGTTAGTAAATAGTAGATACATGAACCGCACATTCGAGGCGCACTTTACGTAGTGCCTATTTTCCCCGGGCTCAACATGGTATGAATAAATAGTACTCTTCACCGTACCTCTAACTATTAAATGGGCTGTCAGCATATTTTGGAGTCGAGTTATGTATTAACCTAGCCGTACTGTCATTATATTAAGACTCGAAGGAGTATAGAGAGACTTATACTAGACTGGATTAAAACGTGATGACCTATTCAAGGAGACAGATCACAAGATAGATTGATGAATTGATAGTGTAATTCGCAGGGGAAGTAGATAAAAGCAAAGGGCGCAGAACATGTCTTGATCACTTATATTGTACCAGCTAACATAATGAATATTATAAGAGACAGAGCTAGCTTGCCACTATGCATGGTAGACAGGGGCTCTTTCTAGAGACTGCTTACGATAGGATTTATATACTTTCCTAACAACCTGGTTTTTGATGCTATTACTACTCGGGCGCCTATTACCACCGACACGTCGGCATACTAGTGCATTGATGCCTGGAGCCCTGAGCGAAGTCGAGAATAGCTGTCTCCGCTCGTATCTACCTAGGATAGATTTGTATACTCACATATTGAAGTGCTTGTCTTTGTTAAGTCTAGGTATGTTCCACTATTATTAAGCAAAACCTCGTAAAGGCTAATATTCTTTGAAAATCTATGTATTTTTCCTGCTAACCTATCTTTTATAAATTGCCAAGTTGATGAGCTCACTATAGTTTATTTTCATGATATAAAACTACATATGTATAGAACTTTTATTTATTGCTGACAGATCAGTGTCTTCTAATACTTATTGATTTATGAATTTATTCATAGCTTTGTAGCAATACTTGCCGATGTTGTATCTGAGTGCCAAGTTTGGATGAAGTGAATTTGGTGACGGAGGCTCACGATATGGTTTCTTTCCAGCCTCACATCCTTTGATGATATGGCTTCGTGGCCTAATGGCTAGGGCGCTAGATTTCGGTTCTTATTGATCCTCTAGAGATTGTCGGTTCGAGTCCGGCCGAAGTCGTCATTCGCTTTTTGCTGAGCTATTTGATAATCTTGCTGTTGTTCTATTCCTTTGGGGGGTTCAAGAAGTTTTTTCTTTCCCCCAGTGCTTATGTTATAGTATGGACGGTTAGTACATTGTTAGAATGCAAGAGTTTCTTTATCCGCATAATTCTATCATGATCCCAATTTTCCAATCTTCCAATTTTGCCAAAATTTCTGCCGCACAATCACAACTGACTCTCCGAGATAAGTAGAATCGATTGCCGATATGGGCAACCCCTCGGCTAATTGTGCGGACGGATAGCGGCGGTTAGTGGGGGCCAGCATGTGAATTTAGTGAGTGGGCAGACCCCGATCTCGGTCGGTCCAGCAAAACACCTTCCACCGCCAATGACAAGCCTCGTGTTGTGCGCATATGCGGCCTTTCCTGGCCTCCCACTGTCACGATTAAGTGCGGCTGCTGTGAAGATACGCCAGCAATTTCCATAAAGCAGCCGTAGCAGGAGTGCTCGGCGAGGGCAGTTCGACACAGCCTCACCATGTCCGCCTCCCTACCTGGCAATCGGGAGCTGCCCGAGTCGCAGTATGACCTGAGCACGTACTGGGGTCGCGTGCGCCATACTGCCAGCATCACCGACCCGAGGCGAGTTGTTTTTTTTTCTGTTTTTGCGTCAATGCGCCTCGAAAGGAACATGGAACTCGGCAGTCGAACAGACCGTTGTGTCATCTTGCTTACCTGCCTACGAAAATGCGTCGCTAACGTGTCTTCACCCTTTGTAGGACCCTCCTGGCTGGGAAGAGCGGCCTCGAAGACGCGAAAAGATTGATCGTGGCATACAAGCAGGGCGAGATCAAAGAGATGTCACCAGAGCTATGGAGGGCGAAGAAGATTGTTGACTCGACAATACATCCCGGTACGGCCACGAACCTTCGTCTCTTTCTCGACGGCTCGGTTTGCGAGGCTGGGCTTGACTAATTGGATGCCATGCGATTAGATACCGGCAAACCCGTCCTCCTGCCCTTTCGTATGTCGTGTTTCGCCCTCTCGAATCTAGTCGTCACAGCAGGAATGCTTACGCCAGGACTATCAGTATGCCCTCCCCCCCATACGGCGAAATCTCTTTGTCCGCAAAAGCAACCTGAAGGTGTGTTAATTAACATACAAGCTAATCTCATCGCTCCGCGCAGAACACCGGCACTGTCCTCTGGCAAATCACGAACCAGTCCCTCAACGTCGCCATAAATAACGCGAACGCAAACAAATCCACCCCGCTCTCGTACTCGAAGCTCGCGCAATCCTACTTCCTCGCCGTCGGCGCCTCGTGTTCCGTGGCCGTGGGGCTGAACTCGCTTGTACCACGTCTTAAGCGCGTGACGCCCTCGACGAAGCTGATTCTCAGCCGTCTCGTTCCGTTCGCCGCGGTCGCGTCGGCGGGGTTCCTCAACGTATTACTCATGCGCGGCGAGGAGATGCGCGTCGGAATCGACGTGTACCCGGTCCTATCGGCGGCCGACAAGGAAAAGCTAGCGGCTGAAGGCAGGGCAGAGAGCGAAGTGACGTCGCTGGGCAAGAGCCGCAGGGCGGCAACAATAGCCGTGGGCGAGACGGCGCTGAGTCGTGTTCTCAACAGCACTCCTATCATGGTCGTGCCGCCGCTAATTCTCGTCCGGCTCCAGCGCACACAGTGGCTGCGCAGCAACCCTCGGCTGACCCTCCCTGTGAACCTGGGCTTGATCCTCGGCATGAGCTACATTGCGCTACCGCTCGCTCTTGCAGCGTTTCCGCAGCGCCAGAAGATCAGCGCCGAGAGTCTCGAGGCGGAGTTCCATGGCCGTGGTGGAGATGGTGGGATGGTCGTATTTAATCGTGGAATTTGATACCCTTAAGTTTTGACAAGAGTCTAAGAACATAGACCAAGACAGAAGCTAGATATAGACACAATAGGCATAGATGTCTGTTTAGTTAGCGGGTCTGTACCAGAAGGACTGGCGGTCTGTAGCACGGTTCCGGGCCCATGGGGAAAGCCGCGATGCTTTTATATCACGCTTAGACGTGTCACGAGGCCATGTAATAACGCAGCTCAAGAGGTCGAAGCTGGAGATGGTTTTTGCGCTTGCTTTGGTAGAAAGCGCTGATACCCTTGCAATGAAGCATTGAAGCAGCTATGAAATTATATGTCTGCGTATAAATTCGCTGGGTCCATCACTTCTAATAAACTAACAGCTAAACCTTAGTCTAACGTTCAACCATACACATGCTTTATGGTTATTCATTGCTGGCTAATCGTAAGTGGATGCCTGTCACTGTCTGGTCTATACTATGATAGTGTATCCCAAGGAGAACCGTGAACTTTACAACAGCTTCTAGCTAAAGCAACTGGTGTGATGGATATTAGGAGATCAAGAATCGCTTCAAGGCTTGGGGCGCGGGTACCTATTTACCGTACCTAAGAAAAAGCACCAGGCCAAGAACAACATACTGCGTATGTAGTGTAGACCGTAGGTAGTATTTTTATGGACCTTGAATACCCCAACTCCCCTCCGGCTCGCTTATCCCATTTCCCCGTGTTTGTTTATAATCTTAGTTAGTGTTTACCAGTCCAAGAGCATGACTGGTTTGGTATATTTGGATATCCACTCCCGCTTCACTGCGACTGCGTAAGTACATGTAGATAGGTAGGTAGATATCCATTGCGTCGGCGGGGTGACTGATTGAGTTCCATTACTTCTAAGTAGGTGTAAGTACCTAGTATATACACATACATACATAGTAGGGAGAATAAGGGTGCGCAAATTAATCCACTTAGCCACAGCCCATCGTGAGAGATTCTACATTATGCGTAGAGTAGATACTGACGGACGATCCCTATCCCGCTTGGAGAGAGTCATCTAATTATGGTTGGCACATAAACAGAGCAATACCTAGGTATAGTAGTATAGTACCAAGCACATACCTAACCTGTCTAGTATAGTATAGAGATACGGTATACTCTGCAATCCAAACCTGTCTTCCAGTACCTGAGTATATTAGGGTTAGATAGTAAGGGTGCTCTATGCAAGTAAGAAGGGTTTCCCATCACAGAAAGCCGACGGGGTTCTCTAGCCGGACCAGGGCAGGACAGGGCAGGACAACGTGGTATGCAGATATTTAGGACGGTGGACAATGGCAACGCTAAACGAACTGCGGTGCATCACACCGCACCTATCCCAAGTATGTGTACCTACTTACTTACCTACCTGTCTGGCCGCGCAAGTGATGGCCCGATAATGATGATGATATGTGTATGTGTACTGCGTATGTGTGTGAGAGTGTGTGCGTGTGCGTGTCCCGTAGCATCCAGACTAGTCTGGCGCACGCACTACACTGTGGACGCGGGGTACATTAAATATTACGTTGTCCCTGGCCGCTCTGTCGTTCGCACTCGCAATCCTGTTGCTTACTTGGATGGGAATTCTCGGGGCTTCCTTTCTTTGCTGCTGACGAACCCCAATACCAAAAGAAAGAAAAAATAAAAAACCAAAAAAAAACCCCCCCAGTGCTATTGCTCAAATGGCATCTGGTTGCTTTCCTACTAAAACATACTTATGTAGATGAACCCGTGCCCCGACCGCGGAACCGAGATTGGTGGTTGGTCTGGGTCAACTTAAGACCCGGCGACGAATGCCCTTGAATCATACTTTCGTTTGCATGTATGGCGTGAATGCCATGGCCTTCCAGTTTCCGATGTGGCTTGCTGGTTCTAGCTCGGCCTACCTTGAGTTTTGCCTTGCTTGTGTTTTGATGAATAGACATAAATAGTCTTTAGATTTTTGTTTTTCTCGGGTCACTCATGTTATATAAGCCGCGATTCTAGATTTATCCAACCGAACGAGACGTTACACCTCCGTGATACGGGAGCGCTGATAGATAAGTGGGAGGGCATCTGTTATCGTGAGGAGGTACAGCAGCGCACTCCGTCTCATACAGTACTCAGTAGTTTCCAACTGCAGTGTACATCATCAGCAGCCCGCTACGTGGGATCGACTGGTGGTCATCTTATAATGGGCCTAGTATGGCGAAGCAGTGACTTCATCATGTCAAGGGCCGGGGCAGTGGGCAGGGCAACGAGACCAAGCCAAGGAATGCCCCAACCGAGGGACGCCAGCGAATAGACGGTGCATCTGGCCGCTGTGTTGGATGGGACAAAAAATCAATCCCACCCTCCATCACCGCTTCGATAAAAAGGCCTCGCTGGTCGGGACTTGAAGACTGGAGACTGGACTCTGTCGCCACAACTAGTGTCAGTACGCAGTAGTGTAGTAGGTATACATACTTAAATACTTAAATACCCATGACATTATTCGTGCACAGTGCTGACGAGCTGAGAGCCGGAACGGCCTTGCCGCACACCATCACTGCCAGTCACACAGTCTTGGGACTGATCTGACACTTAGGTACCTAATCGTTAATTCCTGGTCGATTCACACAGCCTATTGCGTATCCCGAGGCAAAACCGTGAACAGCAGTGCACAAGCAGTGCACAGGCACATACGGCAGCAGTAGTGTAGTAAGGAAACTTGGTAGGGCCTAGACCCTTGTCCGGCTGCCTGTGATTCATGTCTCGATATAGGTATCTGTGGGGTCTCTGCTGTAAGTTAGTTGACTAAGAGTGTAAGCAATCGCAAGAAGGCCTTCAGCCGTCGCTTGCTTGGGAATTGTCAAGCCTTGTAATTTCTTCAACTGAAATAATTTCAATGAACCCCTAATGCTTTCCACGAAGATGGTAGTAAAAGCCGGCTGGCTAGAGTGCTCTTGGGAAATGTGGAAAAAAAAAAAAACTAAACTTGAAAAATAAAATAAAGACCAAACCAATCTAGGCATACATTTACAGGGCCCCAATAGTTCCATCCAATGATGAGAACTTGATGGCGAAAACTGTACATTGAGCCACAAAACACACAGCAACAGTGTGCGGCAGCAGTGTAAGAGATAGGTAGCAAGGGTAGGCAGAATCACTGCTGAATTTCAGGGTCTGTAAG